GCTTTTTTTAAAAGCTGAAAGCTAAAAATACATGAAAATCTGCTCCAAACATGCACTTAAATCTTAAGTGTTTAGAAATGCTAATTTTTATCCCGAAATTTTAACTTTTAAATCAATTTTAAACATAAATTGTCATATTGTAAATGTAACATCCCAAAAATTACAATGAATTTAAACTTTTGAAAACATTTATATTTATAATAAAAACCATTAAATCCATTAATTAACCAAAACCGTTATGTTTCAAGTATTCAAATAACATTTCAAAATCAAAACATTCTTTCAACAATATTAATCCTTTTATAAGTCACGACAACAATAGAAAACTAATGGTGTTAAAATCCCAAATCAAAAGTCTATGACAAAGATCCAATCTTCAACCGCTCCAGTGTACAATCAAGCTAAAGCCTCATTCATTTCATATGTACCTGTAATAATCATTTTATAAGAAAATAGTAAGCACGAAGCTTAGTGAATTGTAACACAACATAACAATAGAAGTATTACACTCTACTCCTACATTCCATGCCATCAACAAATATATAAGCATCCATATAATATATAAACATCAAGATCATACATATTGTGTCTACTTGGGAACACGTCCCAAACAACACCCAAATAAGACTCGGTATTCAGCAGTCGAGTCCACAGACTTGGCATTTCCGCCTTCGGTCCCCCTGACTTTGCATAATGACCTTCGATCAGTCGGCTCGGTATTCAATCGTCGAGCCCAAATATATCGACTCGGTATTCAGCCGTCAAGCCCAAACATATCATGCATATACATTCCATATAACAAATAATTACATCAAATATAACTAATGCAACAAGTATTACTTTAACTATCAACCATATCGTTCCTAGTCTCACCCGACCTAATAGTAGGCATATAATACCCTAAGGTTATGAAGTGAGGAACTCCCCTCCAATATCAAAACACTCTCCACAGTCGCCCAAGACACCCTTTACACCAGGGCAACCTTCAAGCCTCCAAATAATAGAAAATAGAGTTTATAGAATTTCCTAGCAATAAATGTTGGATCAGGTCCCTTAATACATGAAGCAAAACATATACAAAAGTGAAGAGAGTTTAGAGATAGAGGAATTATCTTTCTGATTCTTATTCACCTCACCTGTAACAACGAGTAGAACTACATCTATTTAAATAACAAGAAATAACAAATTAAGCTAAAAACTAGCTACACGATGTGCTCCTATCTAAGTGGCAACTAAGCCACGTTATTTCCTTCAAACCTAGTCAACTGATAACCAAGTTTTCTATTTATCCAAATATAACCCATGACACGTGTTCGCCCATTGCTCGTTAACCCGTTAAACAAACCGATTAACCCAACAATCACCCCATTAATCGGTTGTTCCACGGTTCACTTTTTGTCTTCTTGGTAACAACCTAACCTTTTCCGATCTAACTCGTTCCAATCTAGAGTCCTCTTCCACCATTTAAGAAAACCAAGCTCCTGCTTCTTCTGTTTTCATTTCCCAACTCTGAAAAAAGCCAAATCAAAACCCAACTATTTTGATTTCTTTCCGCTTCTCTCCTTTGCTTCTGGTTAGGCACTTTGTAACCCGGAACATTTCTGATCAAGGATGGAGACTGCACCTTTGCAGTCTTGACCTTATTCACGCCTCTACTGTGAAAGCATCCTCAACAACCATCTGTTGTCATCTCCGGGATCGAACCTCCACAACAGACTTGCTTCTTTCAACATATGTCTTCACGACTACCATCGTGAGCCATTAATGCCACAGCAGTGTTGAACCACTGTCAAAACAGCCAAGAACATCTCCACTATATTTTACACCGACGAAAATCATGAGAAACACGATCACCTTCATCTCTGTTAACACCCATCACATGCTGTTTTAACCAACACTATATGGTTATACCATCTTCCATCCACCTGCTTTACCAAGACAACAACCACTACGAGTCTCGACCTTTCTCGGACACTTGACCTCGACCTCGGCCATATCCAAAGTCTTCCTCGGCCACATCCAAAGCCATCTCTGTCACAGTCTCCTTTAACTGACACTGCAACCACTATCGAGATCTCCCTTTGACAACTTCAAACCTTTACCTGTTCCAAGAGTCTTCTCCTACCACTACAAGCCAAGAAAACCAAGCTTCTCCTTTTTTTGTTTTCTTTTACCTGCAAACAAGCCAACCCAAAAAAAATACAGCCACCCTCTACGACTTACTTCACTAGCGTCACATCATGTTTCAATAGGAAAACCACCACAATAAACCGCAACCACCTGCTGCAGACGACGACCAATATTCTACCATTTGTATTAACTGGAAACTCCAGTTGAAAAACCACTGCCGTACACCTCCTTCTGTTGTGATGGCAACCTTGCACCCGAAGGCTCCTCCCCTTCGAAAGTCGACTCTCAAAACAGCCTTGTACCTCTTCACAAGCCCTAAGCTCTGATACCAATTTTTGGATCAGGTCCCTTAATACATGAAGCAAAACATATACAAAAGTGAAGAGAGTTTAGAGATGGAGGAATTATCTTTCTGATTCTTATTCACCTCACCTGTAACAACGAGTACAACTACATTTATTTAATAACAAATTAAGCTAAAAACTAGCTACATGATGTTCTCCTATCTAAGTGGAAACTAAGCCACGTTATTTCCTCCAAGCCTAATCAACTAATAACCAAGTTTTCTATTTATCCAAATCTAACCTATGACAACCGTTCGCCCATTACCCGTTAACTCGTTAAACAAACCAATTAACCTAACAATAAATGATGTTTACAAGAGTACATAATTTCCTAGCAAAAAGGCTAGTTGTAACACCTTTACACCAGGGCAACCTTCAAGCCTCCTAATAATAGCAAATAGAGTTAAGTTACGGTCTTTTGATATCTCAAATGTATAATGGCTCATGGGTTTTTTTTTCGGATTTATACATAAAAGTTATGGTCTGTTTGGGACCTGTTTTACCATCCTTAAATACCTTATTTTTCAAAACTGTTTTACATGCACGAAGTTACGGTCCTTAGCTTTAAAAGTAGTATTTTCACAACCCCGTACGATTTTTCTATAATTTTTGACAATTTTTACAAAACTATCTAGCAAAACAGTTCATTAACGACCAGTCTGGGTAAATGGTCGATTTCACCCTTGTTAGAGTCATTTATGGCCTTTGGTCAAAATTAATGAATTGTAGGGGACTCAAAAAATAAACGGGAAAATGACATATAGACCCTATAATGTTTCTAGGGTTGACCCATTTAGCCACTTAACTTATTTTGTGGCTTAATAAGGGAATGAAGTATTTGTTACCTAACAATATAGTCCCTTTTACCTATTGTATCCGGTTAACGTTGCCACATAAACCTAGCCTAACACGTAAGCGATGACATGGAAAGAATTTAAAGCGTTGAACAACCATAACGACGTCGTATTGTAGGCGAATCGTAAGGAGCAAGGATCGACTGTTCATGCGCCTCCATATAAAATCAAGACTTCCTTGACCTAAAACGGCACATCTGCAAACTTCATTACCCCAGTCTCGTCTCTAAATTTACTCCAAAATGGCTTCGATCGAACATGCAGAACAGAACTGGTCTCCAAACTACCACCAACACATGGATGAGAATCATTAGAATGGCGTAACGAATGAAGACATGGCCATCAATCTACTGCAAACCCAGCTGGAACTGTCTCTTATACGAGAGGACTTCCAAGACCAGTTGTGTGAGCTCCGTCGGATAGTTGATCGAGTCTTGGATGCCATGAACCGTGAGGTCGATGACGTTCATGCTAGTCAGTTGGATATCTCAAATGTCGTTGCTGATCTTAAAAATCATTTCGTTTCTCTACAAGGAGCATATGTGAAGATGGTCTTCAAGGACAACAAATGTAAGAAGTTGATGTATTGTGTTGGGATTGTTGGTGTTGTTTCTACGTCTGTGGTGACATATTTGGTGTTTAAGTAAAAAAAATGTTGTGTAGGTTGAAACATTTTCAGTCATGGGTTTGTGTTTTGGTGTGTTATTTATGTTGTTTAGTGTCAATATTAGTAGTAGATTTTGTGTGGGTTGTTGGTATTAGTTTGTGATGTTGGTTTGTAGATTTGGTGGTGGTGTTGCCTAGGCTGCTAATGATCATCGTTTTTTGATGAAGTTTTTTGTGGATGATCTCTGTAATAGGTTATGGAATAGGAGAAAGTGATGTAAACAAACCCATGGCTGAAATGTGTTTTAATATGTTATTATTAAAAAAATTATCTTACACCTGAACTGTATGTGTGCGTGAAAGAAAGAAACATTTGGGTATTATATATGTTTCATCGACTGGGACGGGACCACAAACCAAAGCAAAATGAATATACCTTCTTTATGCGCATAGACAGGGACCACAAATGGTGCAGTTTGGGAAAAGGGACAAAAAAATACCTTTGCACATGATTGAAGCATATCTTCTTGTCTGCAAACCTTTTTTGGAAGAAAAAAAAAGGAATCAAGTTTTCTAAAGATGACATTTTCATGTTGAATGGATTAAGTCACAAGTACCCTGTTTTTTACAATGAATTAATTACCCTTGCATTAAAAATGGTCAATTTACTTTGTAATGACTTAATTACCCCCACATCCAAAATGGTAAATTTAATTTCTAATGACTCAATTGCCCCCATATCAAAAAATGGTCAATATAATTTGTAATGACTAAAATGCCCCCACACCTAAAAAACGGTAAATTTAATTTCTAATGACTAAAATGCCCCCACGTCCAAGATGGTAAATTTAAATTTTAATAACTCAAATGCCCCCACATCATAAATGGTCAATTTACTTTGTAATGGCTAAAATGCCCATAATACCCCTAAATATTCGTGGCACGGGACAACAATAACATACTATATAACAACATACCACATAAAAAAAATAGTACACCATAAAAGAACATACAAAGATCATTTGTTTATTGCAACACACATTCACTACAAATAACAAACAATTATTTAATCCAACTCCATGGCCGTTGCAACACTACTACCTTCACCTCCCATATTTTTTGCAAGCTTCAGTTTAATGATTCGTTCTGACTTCTTTCGCATTTTAGGCGATTGAACATACTTAACTCGAGAATTGACATTCACCCCTTCATCCCGTCCATTGACTCCCACCATTTTCTGTTCATCTCCAGGCATATCCAAAGCATCAGTAGCATCTACCATTACCTCACCATCTCCTACTCCTGTGGCAACATTTACAGACTCTTGCATAGGTATAGTTTTTTGTTTCTTTGTTCCATTTTGTTTGGATGTCCCTACACCTTTACTACAAGTAGCCTTGTTGTGTCCTTTCTCCTTGCATATGCTACACGAAAATTTCTTCCCTGCCTTGGAGACGGTATGTTTTCCCATCCGCTCAGAAGCATCTCTTTTTCTCTTTATGGTTGGCCTACCTGGCATACGTCTTTTCAATGGAGGAAAAGGGGGTATCAAGTCAGTAGAAGGCCACATATTTTTTCCATTCATCCCATGGATTGGCTGTTTGTAAGTATTATGGTATAATGCAACCAAGTACATTGGATCTACATATGGACCATCAGGTGTCAAATTTAAGTAGGCTAAGGTGGCAACTGAGTATACGCAGCCATATCCATTAAGTTGTCATAGCCTGTAGCTGCATTCTTTTTTTCAACATCCATAGTAAATGCCTCGTCTGTTTTCCTTGCCTCAAACTTCATCCCCCCCATAAGAAATGACATGCCAATGCCTACATATATAGATGAAAATCGCAAATATCATGAGATGTGAATAGTAAAGTACTAGTGTAATTGGATAAATGTACAAACCTTTGCTCATTTTGGAGCATATTCAACCGTATCCTGATATTTAGACAAATATCCTGATATTTAGACAACTAGAATAACCATTCCATCCTTGTCCGGTTAGTTTCATAGTCACCATCCTTTGCATCACATATATACAAATGTCCTCTAACATGCTTATTATTGGTTTCTTCCGGGCATCCAAAATCAAACTATTAAAACTCTCTGAAAAACCATTCTCTACTAACTCACAAGAATTATGAACTTTGAAAAAAGCTAAAGACCAAGTCTTTGAATCTCTATCCATAAGATGCACAACTGCTTCCGGATTTAATTTTCCAATCTCTTTCATAACTACATTAAATTAAATCTCTATCCATAAGATGCACAACTGCTTCCGGATTTAATTTTCCAATCTCTTTCATAACTACATTAAATTATGCTTTAGTTGTTGCCTTGCTTGCTTTCCAAAACAGATTTTCAAACTTGGATCCACTAAATCTCTTTCTAAAATCCGCATAGATATGTCTAGCACACTATCTATGTTCAGCTGCTGGAAATACTTCCTTTACCGCCTCAATCAAACCCTACATAAGTCACATTAATGTTTGAAATTAGAATAACAATAACTAAATTTAGAACATGCAGTAGTTTTGAACCATTTCTTGTGTTCATCCGAAATTAGAACCAAACCATTACCATCATTCCAACATTACAAATCTTCTGAAAGAGTTTCTAAGAACCATTTCCAATTCTCTTTGTTTTCCATAGAAACAACTGCCCAAGCAATCGGGAATATTTCATTTTTAGCATCTCTACCCACAGCACAAAGCAACTCCCCTTGACAAATAACTAAATTTAGAACATGCAGTAGTTTTGAACCATTAATGTTTGAAATTAGAATAACAATAACTAAATTTAGAACATGCAGTAGTTTTGAACCATTTCTTGTGTTCATCCGAAATTAGAACCAAACCATTACCATCATTCCAACATTACAAATCTTCTGAAAGAGTTTCTAAGAACCATTTCCAATTCTCTTTGTTTTCCATAGAAACAACTGCCCAAGCAATCGGGAATATTTCATTTTTAGCATCTCTACCCACAGCACAAAGCAACTCCCCTTGACAAAAACTTTTCAGAAAACAACCATCTAGGTTAATGATGCCCCTACATCCTCCCCTCCATCCCTCTTTTATGAAGCAAAACATATGTATATTTTGCTGAAAGAATTCCTACCATCAGGCATACAATCAACACAAATTTTAACTGTGGATCTAGGATTTGATCTTCTAATCTCCTCACCATATGACCATAATCTTGCATAATTCTCAACTATTTTCCCTTTAACTAGACTCAATGCATACTTCTTGGCTCTCCTACACTGACTCATACTCACATTAATCCCAAAATCGGTTTTTACCTCCTCTCTAAGCATTCGGACGCTCATCTTTTGATTGTTATAAAATTGGTGCTTAAAGTGAGTCCTTATCCATTTGTAAGTCACAATTGATCCGAATTTGAAATTCCTTGCACAATTATGCTCACCGATAAGAGATTTTATCTGGAAAGACTTATCTTCACTCATCCAAGAACCCCAAAGCCTAAAAGTACATTTACCATCACAGCATTTGACAAGTAATCGTCTAGTATCATTCTTAACAAAACATAATTGATAACCATTCGCGACAGGATAGTTACAAAGCATGTGTTTCAATTGCTTAGGACTCTCAAACCTCATAGCTAAAACAGGTTCATTCTCCTTCCAATTAAACTTGTCATTGAAAATGTTTGGCAATTCAGGATAAACATCTTCATTGTCACACATGTCTTCTTCGTAAAACTCACATGCACCTGCTTTCTCACCCATCTCTACCTGAATCTCATTACCCTTTATAAAAAAATGAGGCTTCTGATGGTCATCCTCATCGCCATCAACATACTCATCCTCGTCGCCATTCTCTTCCTCATCGTTTTTGTCACCCACATCTCGATGCCCTGGTGCAACTTCCTTAACCTGTCCTGCTCCATCAAGTACTTCTTCCTTAACGTTACCAACAAACTCGTCTTTGTGTTCATCCAACCATTCCTGTATGTTACTATTCCCAAAATGGTCTACATACATAGGGAGTATAACACCACATTCATATGCAATTATTATGAAGTCGTAATAATCGAGGTCATTGCAAATTAGAGTCAAACCTTTTGGAAAATCAATATCAGGTTGGCAGTAATAGAGTTTCTCACACTTTTCCCAAGTGAACCTTTCGATGAACGCAACACACCCATCCTTGTCCATTCCTGCGAAATCGATGTCCGAAAACCTCTGAGTAATTCCACCGGTGTAGAGTATGGGGTTTCTGGCGAACATTCCTTGGAAGTGGACATCTACTTGTAAGAATACAGGTTCCATGCTTGAGGATTCAGAAGCAGCTCACAAAAAAGGGTTTACCGATGAAGTGTTGAACAGTGGATGTAAAAGGGCTATTTATAAAGCATATACCAACATTAAGAAGGAGGCGACTAATTAATGACATGGCATTAGACAAAAGCCACAGTCAACATCCGATGTGGTGTTAGTAGAAGGAGGTGGACTTAAAATGACTGGCTAACCCCTTCAAAATTGAAATAAGAACTTAATCGACCCGACAAAGATTAATTCGTTCCCTTATTAAGCCACAAAATAAATTAAGTGGCTAAATGAGTCAACCCTAGAAACATTATAGGGCCTATACGTCATTTTCCCAAAAATAAACTCTGGGATTTGGTTTCGAATAAAAATGGTTTTCCATGATTTAGATATAACATTTCAAATTTCTGGACAGATTAGGGAAAAATCTTGAAATCACAGCTTTGGCTTTTTAGGTTATTTTGGCTTCTTAACCTATCAAGACCTCATAAGACAACCCATACAACTGGGAAATAAGGTCTTAACAGAGACTACAAGTGTTGAGTCAAAAATAAGAATGAAATTGCAAACTATAATCCAAAGTACAATGACAAAATAGGATAACAACGTTCAATGCTTAAATGATAAAAAGCATCAAGTTAGGGTTTGGACTTCTACTCATGACTCAAGGGTCTAAGGCATGAAAAACAAGCACCACACACCACTACCACTGTAAGGTGGAAGGTGGTGGTCAACAATATCATCCATGGTTGACGCCCATGGCAGTTAACGGTGATGATGGTGATTAAGATGTGGGGATCAAACCATAAGAAGAAAGAAGAAAAAGAAAGAGTTTAAAGCTTACCTCTTAGGAATAATCTTCACCACCACTCCTCCACCCTAAACCACCAACGGACAGAAGCAAACAACCCCTATCAGCCTTCCTTGCTCGATATAGCCTTCCCTCTCGATGCCTTCTCCCTTCAGCCGACACAAGCAAAACATGAACCAAAGAAATCACAACTTAGGCTATTAGGGTTTGAGTTAATTTAATATTACTTATTGGACTAAGTATTGCAAGGGAAATGAAGGAACGTCCAAAAAAAAGAACCCCATCAGGTTAAAATATGGGCTTACACCCAATTTACATTTTTGGTCCATCATGTTTCCCATATTGACAAAATATACCCGCACAACAGAATTTTTGGCACCATGAGGTTTCCATGTGGACAACTTCAGCCCTTCTTCTAGAAATAATTACAACTCCCTCAAATACTCAATTGTTAATTATTATTATTATTATTATTATTATTATTATATTTAGCTTGTACTTATTTATTTTCCATTATTAATTAATTACACAGAAAATGGGGTGTTACAGTAAACAATAATGTTTTGGACATCTTCTTTTCTTCTCTAATAAATAAAAATCATTTCTGCCACTTGTCACATTTTCATGCATTTGACACATATAATTTTATGGTTAATTATTACAAAATTAATTTCCACTTGTTATTTTTTGGGAATTTTTGATTTTCTTAATTAACTATTCTATTTTTTGGTTATAAAAAGTAATTAATGTGTCATTAATTAGTTTTCTTATATTTTCAAATTTTAATATGCTTTTAATATATATATATATATATATATATATATATATATATATTTATAATTCAAAATTGATATGTTTCTTTCAAAGTTCATTGTCATTTTAGGCAAAATTGTCCAAAAAAAATAATCGAGCTTTGTTGTTTTTCATTGATAAAACTACAAAAAAAAGTTATATGATCAAAATATAATTATTTCTCCGTAGTTTGTTTTCTTAGTATAAATCAAATTATTTGTTTATTCATCATTTTGTTTCTATATATTTTGAAATTTTACTTAAAAAAATCTTATATTTACATCTTGATATTTAACTTTTTCTTTAAAACAAATATTTAATATTAATCTCTTTATTAATCTTTTTAATCAACTCGTTTAATAAATGGATTTCAGACCTAGTAAAAGAATATAAAAATACAATTTTTGGTGTTTACATCAACGTTTATGTCCATTTAACTATAATTGCTTTGTTTGATTTTTTTAATCTTGACAGCCATATCAGCTTCATCATCATCTTCACGATCTCAACCAACATTACCATCGCCGCTCCTACCACCTTCGTAACCCATCATCTCCAAACCTGCTCTCGATTTCTTCCACCTAGATTATACCTACAAGTCAGAATTCCATAGTAAGAAAAAAGGGAGTTGTTCATTAGTAATTCTTTCCCACCTAAATTTTTGATAAAAGAATGTGCCGTGCATGTGCGATCAGAGCTGCACGAAGCCATGGAAAGATGATCAGGTGGCTTTTTTTAATTAAAAATACTAGATTGAGTTAAAATTCTCAATCTATTTAATAAATAGGTTGGACTAGTTAATTACTAGTTATACACTACGTCATTTTACAGGGATCAAACTTGTGTAACTATAAAAGTGTCGGAGCAAACCTTTAAATATACAAAAGTCTTGTGGCCAAAATATGAAACCAAAAAATTATAGGGTCAAAACATGACAATATATGGAAGGGGGCACGGAGGGAGTAATCTGCAAACTTTATATTAGATAGGGACTATTTTTGTAAATACATGGATCATTTTTATAAAAGGGAGAATTTCATATATACCCATCTTAAACCTCAAAATATCATATTTGTCTGGCTTAATTTCTTAATATCATATTTACCCTTTATAAACCTTCAAAATATCATATTTGCCCAAATCCTTTTTTATAATGTTTTTAATATTTTATAATCATTTTTTATAACTTAAAATTACTATAATAATTAAAAATTTTAACGATATTATCCTTACGTCTAAGATAATGAAATGTAAATTTCTAAATTGTTGGAATGTCGTCCTCTTGACAAACAAACATATTCATCTTCAACCTTCTCTATGGAATGCATATTTTGATTGTGTAGTTTTTTTGTTGATTATATTGTAGATGAAGGATATTTTAGATATTACCATCGATATTTTGATGTTTAAAAAATGCAAATACGATATTTTGATACTTAAGAAGGGCATATATGATATTATGATGTTTAAAAAGGATATATATGATATTTTGAAATTTTATGAATGGTAAATATGATATTTAGAAATTTTATGAAGGGTAAATATGATATTTAGAAATTAAGTTGGGTAAATATGATATTTTGATGTTTAAGAAGGACATATATGAAATTCTCCCTATAAAATAAAACCGCACAAGAACTTTTGTGTAAATTATGGGGATAACTTTTTTAATTTATTTTTTATATAGATGCCAAGCATAAAATTTTTTTAAACATATAGATTGTTTCTATAAAAAAAATTACAAATTTTGTTTTTCTTGTAAATTATAAAATTATAGTGACTAAATCTTTCAATAACCAAAATCGTTATGATAAAAATCTGAAATGCAAAAATACATTGTTTGCTTACACTTTGCAATTAGTATTAGTATATATAATAATTTGAACTCAATCTAATTTTAAACAATTGCCAACTCTAAATGGATGATGTCATTTGTTGGATTGGGTCGTGTACAGGGTTTGTTGTCGGTTTGAGCTTATGCCAAGATGTTTGGAGCCATAAGCGAGAGGAGCCGGGAATAGGGAATACAGGAGGATACCAATGAGGAGGGAGGTGTCAGGGTAGTGGATCGTTGGTGAGAATGGGGCTTCATGAAGGTGAAGAGAAATAGAGAGGGGTTATGAGAAGTTTGGAGAAACTCATTGGACTTGGGCCTTGGTCTTGTATTGTAACACTCTTGTCTTGTGTATGTCCTTCCTTTGAACATAATCCAAATCATTTTTGAGAATTTAAATCAAATTAGAAATGGCAATTTTCAAAAAAAATATATATATGTTAATCATATATTATAATAAACTCAAGGGTATAAAAAGTTAAAATATAATAACCAAGAAGTTTAATAACCAAATGGTTAAAATGATAAACTACTTTTTGAAATAAGAAATTTTGTTGCTTCACATTTGGTGATACTTATTTTTATAGGAAACCAACTGGGGTTGCTTTAAAAATTTGTGATTAAAATTCGACATTTGAAGAAATTGTATTTTTACAAGAAACCATTTGGAGTTGCTTTATAAATTTGTTTGTTTCAATATGCAAATCAAAGGCATGGGTTAGGTGTGAATACTATCCTTGTGTTCGTTGAAGAGTATCCAATAGGATGTTATCCGGTTTGTTTGGATAAGTTTAGTTTCATGTCATGCTTGTAGCCATTTAAGTCCAAACGAACCATGGTGGGAATAACATGGTTCTCTATTATCTCTAAACGATATTATGTATATATACTAAGGTGGTTTAATATAGTTGATAGTTGACTATTAAGTTAAAAGTCTGATTGAATCTATATCTGATTGAAACCATGTTATTTGATTATGAATTGACTCACTATAATGAATACGATAAACCATGAAAGTTACAAATTTACCTTTCTATTATGTTTGCAATACAATATAACATCCTAACATCAAACTATTCAAACTCATCTTTAACAAAACCTTTGATATTAAAAAAAAAACTTTGTAACAACATAATTATAAACTTAAAGGTAATTGTCTACAACATACTAAAACAGAAAAAACCACATTAATTAATACAATTTGTCACGGTGAGACTATTATTTCAGCACTAAACACGAAGACACATCAAATTCATTTATTTTTTCTTTCATCTTATCGGGGAAATACTTCTCCCAATCTTTGTCTTCAACCTTTCTGAAATAAAGTTTGTTTTCTACCCCATTAGACCCTAGTGGACTATGAATTCCACTTTTATTCACCTCCAAATTTAACGTGGTGATTTTTCACCATATTTTTTATTTTTAAAATATCAATTAACAGATTATGGCAACGTAGGTCTTAATTTATTTTTTAGAAAATATCACTATCATTACTTATTTCAAAACTTTCAAAGTCAATCCATTAAAATTTAAAGTCCGCAAAACTAATTCCAAAACATCAAAAAC